ACTTAGAATTAATTTAGCTTACACTGTAAGTAAACCTTTATCTTAATTTAATTCATATTTTAACTTAATTTGTTGTGAGAAACTATTAAAAAACATTCAAAAGGAATTTAACAGAATTGTAAGCATTATTAGTGTACTAATTGTGAAACCAATGTTTATAAATACACACACAAACATGTTTGTATACTGTAACTTAACGGTCTGGCTCACAAATATGTATAAGCGAAGGTTTTAAATATTATATTAAAGTAGACATATTGAAATGTTGTGCAATAAAGTGTTGCAATATTAAACCTACTCATGCAATTCAAAGCTGATGGCTGGGTACACTCGATGAAATTATGATTTGTGTGTATTTAGTTGAAGAGAACACGGTTCAAAACAATATTTTTAATAGCTTGATGTAGCTAAGGATACTGAAAGCTCATTATTTTCAAACATTTTTCAATGCCTTATTTTTAACTATTGTTTAATTCAACACGTGAAAATGTTATGGAGTTAGAGTTAACAAAACATAGTTGACATCTGTCAGCTCATTAGACTTATGATGCTTTTTTGTCTGGTTTATTCCATTGCCAGAATGTATGCAATAGTTTAAACCGCTTTTCTACGTACAAGTTCCCAAAATATCAAAACAAAAATAAAATTGAAAGTAATTGTTTGTGTAGATCCTCCAGAAATTAAAATATTTATTGCTAATTTTAAATCTAAATTCTGGAACTTTTAATTCATTTGCTTTAGAAAGTGGTGGTGTTTACGTTGAATATAGGTTTACAGTGTGGTATTTAACCCGTAGAAAAGGTTTTAATTCAATGGTATGGTAATATATTCAGCATAGCATTTATCCTTTTATTCAACGATTGCATTTGATTGAACAAATTTGCAAATAACATGGCGTTTAAACGTTTGCTATGTATTCCTATGTACTAAATCACAATTTAAATTAGTTAGTATAGACCTGTGTCTTGAAAAAGGAAAACGATTTCTGAATAAAAAAAAAATGGTTCCTGTAACTTTAACAGTGAGTTTACCTGTTAGAGTTTCGAAGGTGAGTAACAAATAACCTAAGTCCCCAAGCTGTCTAAAGCCTTTGGACCATAAATTGTATGTTCTGATCAGTCCATAAATACAACCAAAGCCTTCAGAAACTTCCTTACAAAGTCGTTTTGAAAACTAAATTTTACAGGATGATAAAACAAAATTTATGTTAATTAAATTAGTGTCATAGTTATACCACTATGATAAACTTCTCGAAGTGTAAATAACAAAAATATATACTGTGTATGAAGTTTTAAAATTATAAATAAGAAAAAAAACTCAGATAAATACGCCTTGTACTAAAAGAAAAGAAGTATGAAATTTAAATGCTCAAAGATTACAATGAACTTAAATACGAAATTAAATAAGAAATTTTAAAAGAATTTTGTTATTTTTTTATCATTTAACTGAACGGAAAATCGAAGTACAGGCTGTAGAAGAAATCTTGAAAAGTTATAGTTTATTGAAAAAAAAACTAAATTTTTACTGCTACTACTACTTTTTATCTACAAAATATTTACATTTATATTACTTATAATTTTATTAACCTACTACACACTAATCGGCTTCTTTATATACTTATTTTAGAACAAAGTCGTTGTTTCAAACATGTGTCAGTATAATCAGCTGAAGTACGGTCAATTTTGCAATAGACTGCAACAATGCTATGCTATCACCGAAGCTACCTCCCCCCTTCTCCGTGCGTATATAATTATAGACTTGTCCACAGCAACAATGCTAATAATGTTAGTGTGAATTACTACGATTGACGAGCACCATCGTGAATATTGTGATTACTAATTAACCTACACAGAAGATGCATTATGATAGGGAGTGTTGTGAAATTCTACATTGTGTTAGTTAATTCGAAAGAAATCAGCTCAAATCTGCTGCCTGATAAAATCTAATAAGGTATGAGTTAGAGTTGGAGTATTCAATGTTTAGAAATTTGCGAAATGATAAATATTAGTAAAGTTATGTTGACATATATGTCTAAATAATTAGCATTGCAGTAAATACATATTTGCTGGTATAAAGTATCGTACGCAACTCGTGGTAAAATTATTACGTTACTCACATGAAACTCCAATAAAAATCTTTACGAATCAACACAATAAAATAAAAGTCAAGTCTCTTTTAAAATCAATAAATCATATAGAACAGGAATCACGTTTTAAAAAACATTGTATAAAAATATGGATTCAACTACAAAATTGCAACTGCAAGATGGACTTTGTCCCATAGCTTTTCTCAACTCTGTCAAACCACACTACAAGTCTAGCAATATAACCACAACAGCTGTTGGATGCTTGTGACTGTTTAAGTTGTTCATTTTGTGTAGGAACTTCATAATATTGGCATATTTTACGATTTACTGTAAACAGTGTAAGTAAGTTTCTCATCCTATTGTAAATAATAATGACGAATATAATTATCATAAATATAATTCTGAAGTTTCTCTATCTGACTAAAGGGACGGGGGTTAATAGGGTACAGAATAATATGTTTTCATATTTCCCCACTGAAAACATATAATTTCCCGATTTCTCTCTAAACTATGTTGTAGAGCTTAACAAACAAGTAATATTGTATTTATATTGAACCGTTGTTTTATACCTGATTACAGAGAATAATAATTAATCCGTTCAATTTAGAAACTGTTTAAGTTTGCTTGTTTATTGATATATTTTGGAAAAATTTGGGAAGTTTGTTTATTTATTACTAAGTTTTTGTCATTTTAATAAAAACTAATTTAATTTTTCACCTTCCCTCTGTGGCAGAAAACCTAAGCTATCATAAGAATTTTGTATGATAAGTTTTTGTATAAGTTAATGTGAAAATTTAAAAGAAACATTTGGCAACAAAAAAAATCCAGTGATTAAAAATTTGCAGTCTGTAGGATTTCTGTGTCGGGGGTGTTTTTAATTTACGCTCAGTTTTTTTAAAGTGAAGTTTTCGTGCCATTTTCCCGATACAATGCTATATTCTGATGTCCATTCCATCGCAATTATCACAACAATCGATAATCAGTTATGATTCAAAGACCACAATTCCCTCCCAGTTCCCGTTATAACACATTATACAAGGTAACCATGCGTGTGTTGCGGAATTGGACGGCCGAGCCCCAAAACAATGCAATCTCAAATTGAAATTACATTGGTAAACTTGGCAAATGTTTCTATTAGTGTATATGATACATTCCAAGATACCTTGATCTTATTTGTATCGACAATTGATCTTAAATTAATGGTTTTCTCTTGTTTTTATTTAATTTTGTTTGACCACGTTTGTGTAGGAAAAAAGATTTCGTAACTAGTTAATAAAATCTTATTTTATTACGTTTGTTCTTGGCTAATTTAATGATTGTGTGGTTAATAACTTTTATATTTTATTGAAGTTCAAACTGGATAGGCGTACAGTATACAAATTTGTCCAAGTAATGGCTAATAAACTCAATAAAAGTTACTATAAGTATCCTACAACATTTCTTTTTGCCACCCTCAAGTTCTACAAATTAAATGTTTACGGCTTATGTGTCTTAATTGCAAAAAATCCTGCGTTTACTGCTATTTAACTGATGTCACGTATAAAATATTTTATATTTAAAATCCAAACCGTCAAAATGCTCGTTACAAAAACGAGGTCAAAGTTTTTTCATCAAGACAGCCATGAATGGCAGCGAGTAATCTACAAATGACTGAGTACCCACGGGACGACCGCAGCTCCTTGGGTTGCAAATTGTGAATATCAGCAAAATAATACTCCGACCTGGATTTTTAGAACAACAACGCTTTAATATTACCGGCGACAATATAGGTTTAAGGCTAACACTGAGAGTAAATTTTCATACAATTACCACAGTGTTATGTGGAATCACCAAACAGACCGACCATTTCTATGTAGAAACATTAGTTCAAACTACAGGAAATTTAGAGAATCAAAACAAAACACGTAACTATTGTTGGTTAACATCAGTACCGGATTAGTACACCGCATATACGTGTGTGGTCTTCAACTGTACCCTTAGTGCAGCTTACTAACTCAATGCTAAATATAATCGAGCTATTTTGTGAAAATGTTTTTCAATACGATTTTTTAGTATCACCCGGGTGGAGTGTGTCTTGAAAATTGTTTTCACATAGTTAGGAATAAAAATAAAGACAATCATTGTTTTAGCTATTTTACAGTTCTTGAGCAATTTTAAGAAGTTTCAGCTCTTAAAAACCATTTTGATCTTCCCATAAAGTGTCACAATTATCTAAAACGTTCCTTTCGAGCCTGGGTTTGAGCCGCTTAGACATGATATTATTAGAGAGAGAGAAATTATTTAAAAATTGTATGCAGCAATACGTATAACAAATAAAAATATCACATGGGTCACAATGACCTGTGCGTGATAGAGTCCTTATTTTGCTGCGAAATCAAAATAAAAGTTCTTCGCACTTCACTTAATACACATAAAAAAAACCTAACAAATGTAAAACCTAACAACCATATGCTACTCAATAACTTGGGGAGCTCATTGCTTTACCTGAGATCCGATACATATAAATTTGTTTCATTCAATTCCCCTTTTTACTTAGCATTATGTACTATAATCCAATTCATCATCTTTCCAACCATAAACAAGTCGTCTTAACCTTTGCGCCAAATCCCTACGGACAAAACACCAAAACATTGGTAAAAAAGAGGTAAAATCGATGCGAAATTAACCCAAAACTCTACACAGACGTTATTGTAACCCCTACAAAGGGACTCGGCGCGAGCTTTCACATAAATCAGCTCATCGAGCGAGCAGAGCATTGTTGTCACTGAGTTGAGCCGAAGATAGCCGAGCGACGCGCAACAGTTGGCCGAGGGGTGGCGGAGACGCCCGAGCGTTGCCGAGGGGTGACGGAGACGCCCGAGAACAGCCGAACGTGGCCGAGTGTCGTCAACAGTGGGTTTGGTCGCAAGTTCGACGGTAACACTGGCCCAGATATGGTGTGGCGGGGCGGACCGGGCTAAGCCTAACACAGGTAATCAATTTATATTTATAGACTTCAATTCGGGACAAAGAGACAGGAATTGAATACCACCCGCGGACCGTGTTGTATTGGGTCGCTGAAATAATATTGGGTATTGACACGTTTCGTCGGAAAGTTTGACAACTTTCGACACTGTTCTTATATTTTAGGTTTTCAGAGATGGTAATAATTAAAAAATATAATACTTTGTAATTTAATGGATTTTAAAAGTTGAAACCAACGTTAAAATTTTAAACACGATTCTTTTAAATAGTTTTGGTTACAGAGCCTTATGGAATTTTAATGTTTGAAACCTCCATAACAACTCATAATGAAACCAAAAGAAAAAAAAGTTGGAGTAATAAGTATCGTAAGAAATGTAAGAAACATAGAATTTTGCATTTTACATTATTTTTACATAATTAGTTAGAGTTAAAATCTCTTTTGTCAATTCAATGATGACGTTAATAAATCTATTGCAAAATATTGTATAAAGGTGAATTTTTACTAAGTACCTATATGATTTTGTAAAGAAATCTTGCAAATGTTCGTTGGAGTAGTTATTACAGTATTACATATTATTTACCTCAGAATTAGAAAACTAATGAACATGAATAAATACCCCCGCCGCAGCAAATATGCCGTCTAAGCGAATTTCCATTTGGCTGAATTGATTTTCAATCGATCTATTTAGATAACATTAGGTTTAACGAGTACCTAGGTTTGCTGCTACAAGGAAACTAATAAAGTGTGTATTTTAAGTAAAATAATTATTGCTTAGTAGAAAATGAATATATTTGCCAAGTTTGATCAAAATATATCCATAAACAAGCAAACTACAACATTTTACAATATTCTCCATAAGAATAACATGGGAATTTTAAATTTACAATTTTTTTTAGTTTTCTCCGTAACCAATAACCGTACAAAAACACTTTGATATACTGAATTGTTTGTTTTTTTAAGCTCTTTAAGAAGGTTTAGAGAAAAATTGGGAAATTTTGTGTTCTGAGGGTCAAAAGTGAGAAAAACCAATTTTTACCCCATAAAACCCCCCCATAAAACCCTGTTCCCATGGTCCGATCATGCTGGATCGCGAACTCATTCAAGTTAATCCCGCCTTACACCTTCAAACCAAATTTCATCAAAATCGGATAAAAATTACTCAAGTTATCGTGTTCACGGACATATATATATATAAAAATTTTAACGAATGGTGTTTTTGGCCTCTGGGGACATCAAAATGAAAAAGTAAATCGGTCCCGGGCCTAAGTCTTACCATGAGACCTACGGTAATAGCTACTTCCCTATAGGGAAATTCGCTAAAATACTGAATTGAAAAATTAAAAATATGGTTAGACTTCTTTAAAATTACTGGTTTTGCAATATTTACTTTTTCAACTCTTTTATACAAAAGTATACAAACATATTCTTGAGTTTTATCTTATTTTTTAGTCATTCATGCAATCTACAACAGTTTAAATATGTAAATGTATTGCATGTAACATTAAAAATAATTGATTGGACATTTAAATGAATTACTTATTTTCCATATATTGTATTACATAAGTTGTCCAAAATGAGCCATAAAAGCACTCGCATAAAACAATAAGCTAATAAAATTACGTATTTTGACCCATCCAAATTGTTTGTGTGTCAACACCACCAAAATATGAAAAAATCTAATACTTACGGACAAAACTGCCAAATTAAAATAAAAACAAATTAAAATGTTGAACCCGATCCAGCTTGACAAGTTAATCAAAAGCGCTCTTTGTGGACAGACCGTCTATTCAAGCTTTGCAAAAGTAAAGAAAACATAATTTGTGCAATAATACCGGCGACGAGTGTCTTTGGTGGAAATTTAATTTAAAATGTCTCTGTTAATGTAAAAGCGCTAACATATGATTAAGTGTACAGAAAGTTCTGTAAAACATGCTATTCTATATTACAACACTATTATATATTATTATTCTATTTCGGTTACATTTTTTCTTTTGTACACGTTAAATATATTTTAGATGATGTTTCAATAGGCTGTTCATCATAATTTTAATTATTTTATACAGCAAACATTTTTCATCGATTTTAAAACATTATTAAGGTGAAAATTAAAAACTCACTTTACTAGTAGGTGAAACTAAAGCTCATATAGTGTAGAACTATTTATTAATCTTGGCCAGAAAATGTTGCTTTAATTGAAAAATTACTGTGAATTTTTGGAAGCTTAGAAGAGGTTCCAAACAATGTGCCTTGTGTTATATGAGGTTGAACAGTCATGAAAAAGTTATATATATCTTAAAACTTTAGATAGCCAAACTAAATAAGAAAACCAGTGTACCTGTGGCTCGAATTCAAGCAATTGCGAGGTATTACGGGCATTATTTTAACACCAATAACAGTAATACTTTCCGATGACTTTAAAAGAGTCGACTCAAAGATTATGGAAGTACTCATGATGTATATGATGTTCGTTCGATATAATCAACATTTCTTGTTGATTAATCAACAAAAGTTGGTCTTGTTTTTATAAATGTTTCTCACTCATAGCCTGATAAGGTTGTAAAATTATAAATTCTGAAAAATCACTTCTAGTTTTTCTTTTTGGTGGTGTTCTATGACTTTCCTATGTTTCCATAGTTTGCAGATCAGCTCTTGCAATGATTGCTCAAGAAATTCAGCACAGTGTTAATTGAATTTTCTTGTATATCAAGCTGACCAGGTTTTTTCTTTTTTTCCTATTGCAATATATTAAGCCAACCCAAATTAAAATAGTAAATATTCATTTCAACCAAGTCAGTAAATGTTTGAAGCACAACAGCAATTAACCAGCTGATCATAATGTAAACAAATATGTTATTTATAAGGATAACAAGGAAAAGTTAAAAAGCACTGGGGCAGAGACCAAGAGACTTTTTCAAAAATGTAAGGTCAGGCTGCAAATCTACACATTTAGACAAACATTTTGGTATATAATATGTGGGGCTAAATCTTAAAACAAAAAAGCCTTATTGTTCACAAAGTTTCATGTAGTTTATTAATAATATAGAAGATTTATTTTAAAATAGTTTTAACAAGAATCTCAAGTCGTTGGATCACTGTTTATTACAATTGCGAGAGGAACATTCTTTACTGGATGATAAATTACTGGAGCTTGTTCTAATTGACTCAGAAAATGATTTGTTGCTTTTGCCGCTTCAATATATTTGCAGATTCATGATTAAATGCGGAAGAAACTACATTTAGAAGTTATCAAAGTAATCTGTATATATTCTTTTCAAATCGAACAAAAAATAATATAGTAAATTGTGAAACATATTACAGTAAGTAAACTGTAACCGCTAATTAATTTTTATTACCAAAATCAATGCGTAGCTCATAGCTCAACAACATAATTTCTATACTGTAACCTCTGTAACTAATATGGTAATTTATTTCAAAATCTGCAGTTAATCTAACCGTTAATTAATCGAGTATTCATGTAGTTGAGTGGATTTGTAACCAAACTACGTTTGGATTTGTAAGTCGGTTTGAATTAATACGAAATTAAATAACTGAAAATGTATAAATAATGTAAACGATTTAATTTTTTATCGTACAACTTAAAACTTGTGTATAGTACAAACATTCAAAAATGGCGTTAAAATGGCATATGTTAGCATTTAAATGTACATGTATTTATATACATGATGTATGTTTTAGTCATAGCTAAGAGCAACCAATTACATAAAAGCCCACCACGGTATGGTTTTTAAACGGTTCTACATCTAAAATAAATTTAAGATAAAACTCTAATGTATCAAATTTAAAGTCTGACTGGCGTTAAAGTGTATATTTCCTAACGCATAACTTTACTTCTATAATTTTAGATACTTGGAAATCGAAAAAAAAACGTGTGAAATAATTGAAACTCAATATTTATTTAGTCGTAACTCATCGAACTCCAATGTTGATATAATTTACCAGATGACCAGCAAGGATTATGTGTTTAGAGTCTCAAAGACATCAACTATGTCCAACAAAGTCGATAGTGGCTATGAAGCCGACCAACGTCAAACTTTGCCATAGAAGCTGCATCTTTAGAAGCTGAAGATTAAATTTAGTGTCCTTTGAAAATCTGATAGTTTGTTACGCTATCGGAAATCCGAAATTGAAATTGTTAATTAGATTTGCTTACGTATTTGATAAAGACATTTAAATATTTGAGTTGTAACAAATTATTTTACTTTATAGGGTTTTGGGAAAAAAACTACCAAGAAAAACATTATACTTGGTTGACATTTTAGGCCTACGTAAAATAAATAATAGTCAACCCAAAAATTTCATGAAAATTTATTAAAATCTATTATAAGGGTACAGAAAAATATTGTTCTAAATGTTTTACAGTATTTAAACGAAAGGGTAATTCCTTCTCGTTTGAAAGCTGTATCCTATGACTTTTCTAAAAAGTCACTAAAGTAGTAAAAGTTTGATGCTAAAATAATACATAACATAATTATTTAGGTGTAATGAAAGCAATTGCAGAGAAACCAAGGAAATTGTCACTTAGTAATAAAATTACGAAAAATGAGCTAAATATATCAAAATTAACCTAAGAAAGTTTCTAAAAAGCTTATAATTGTTCAATCCCGAGATTTGGTCAACGTATAGTTATACTTCCAAACTAGTCTTCCGTACTCATCTATTAATATATTTACAAAATTGTGTAAGATTAAGAGCCACCCGAACTTTTTTAAACCACACACGCGATAATAACCTGTGGAATATACTAGATATCCACATACATTGGAATCGACGATACCAATAACTTTTCAGTAGCAGTAAACGATCTGGCGAGTAAGTTTCTGTAGGTTTTGGCCCAACCGGGACTACTTGGCAGGTATTATATCGACTGTGTGAGTGGCCTTAATCTCTACATTCATCTGCAAGTCGATATTACACGTTACACGTAGGAGCGGCCTTGTACTTTGATACTTTCCAGTTATATAAAGTTATATCAACTGTGTTAACTT